GGGGCAGCCTTGTCTAGTGCCTTTCAGTATGGGAAAATGGTTTGATCTGTGCCCCGCATATCTCACCGAGGCCATGGGGTTGGAGTACAATGCAGTGATCCAGGTACAGAATCCTGACCCAAAGCCCCACTTGTTGAGCATGTAGAACAAATATTGCCAGGACAAGGAGTCGAACGCCCTGTTCATATCTAGTGAGAGGAGCATGAGTGGGATGGGTCTCTGGTTAGCTTTTTCTATAAGGAGACAGGCTCTACGCACATTATCTCCGGGTTGACGTCGGGCTATAAAATCACCCTGATTCTTATGGATAAGGTCTGGAATAATTGAGTTGAGTCTAGTTGCCAATATTTTGGCTTATAATTTGATATCGACGTTCAAAAGCGAGATTGGTCTGTAATTGGCCCAGTGAGTGTTATCCGTGTCAGGTTTGGGGATCATGCAAATGGTGGCTGAGAGGGACTCCGTCCTAAGTTTTGATCCCTTTTGGAGGGCATTAAAAGTGGCTGTCAACAAGGGGGCTAAGAGTTCAGCAAACTTCTTATAGTAGGAGGCTGTGAAGCCATCAGAGCATGGTCTTTTGTTGAGTTTGAGCGTTTTAATCGCTGTGATTACTTCCAACTCAGTAATGGGGACATCGAGGGATATGCAGGCAGATTGAGGCATGAATGGCATATGTATCTTGGAGAGCAAGTTGGAGACTGCGTCAGGGTCGAAGGGGGTGGTGGAGTTATAGAGTGTGGATAGATGCGTGGCGAATTCCTGTACTATCTTGTGAGGGTTGCTAGGCATGGAGTTGTCAGAGAGGCGGAGGCAGAGGGGTTTTTGGTGTAGATTCATTTTATGTAGTCTTCTAGCTAAGAGGGTAGTTTGCTTGTTACTTTGAAGGTAGAATTTATGTTGAGTCCTACGAAGACTTTTATCAGCAAAGCTGGCTAATAGGAGGTTGAGGTCGCGTCTAATCTTTTCTAATTGGGATTTGTGGAAGGGAGATGGGTGCAATCTGAACATTCTGGAGGCATCATTAAATTTTGTTTCAAGGTCCTGTAAAAGGGTCAGTTTCTATTTTTTTAGGGTTGAGGCTAGTCGAATGCATGTTCCTCATAATACTGGTTTATGTGCTTTCCAGAGTGTGATGGGTGAGATGTCTGGGGTTGTGTTATGGAGAATGTATTCCTGTATAGCGGCTTGTATAGTTATTTCGTTAGATTCGTCAGCAAGGAGGGAATCATTCATCGTCCAGGAACGATCTGTGTGGGCCGACAACAGAGAGGACATTGAGAGGGTCACCCCCTGATTATCAGTCCACGAAAACGGGACAATACGTGACTCAACCACAGAGGGGAGGGTGGGATGCGATACAAAGAAGTGATTGATTCTGGAGAATGAATCATGTGGGCTTGAATAAAAGGTGTATTCTCTGGAGGAAGGGTGTAGTTCCCTCCAACAATCAATTAGTGAGTATTGGGAGAGGAGTGTACGAAAGGCTCTGGAGTTCTCTGTTGGTGGGGCGTTTGTAGTTGACCTGTCTAGGCTCGGGTAGATGGTTGAGTTAGAGTCTCCACACAGGAGAAGGGTGCCTTGTTGGTGGGCACTGACAACGGTCAGGAGGTGTTTGAAGAAGGGGAGTTGTCTAGAGTTGGGTGCATAGTAGGTAACTATGGTGACTCCGCGGTCACAGAATGTACTAATAAGGACAAGGTAGCGCCCGGAGGGTTTGGGGATCTCCTTGGTGCATTTAAATTGTGTGGAGTTTTTGAAGCCTATCAGGACACCTCGGTGTTTAGTTTGGTCATTGGCCATGTATATTTGTGAGTATTGGGGATGGAAATAGCTGGGGTGGGAGGAGCTTGAAAAATGGGTTTCTTGTAGGCAGATTATGTCCATTTTTGAGGAATGGAACTGACGAAAGGCAATTTGTCTTTTACGTGGGGAATTGAAGCCTTTTACATTCAATGATAGGATGTTAATGTGTGAGGACATGGTTATGGTAGAGGGTGGGGTGTAATGAAAGGTACATATCAAACGACGCGCAGGCATCCCACATCATGACCGGGAGAGGAGGAAGGGCGGAGAAGGAGGGGAGTACAAGAACAAAAACAACAGGTTAGTGTGATGCACCAAGATGCATTAATGACAACATAACAAGTGCGTTAACAATCCTGACATACTACTTCCGACCAATAGGGATGTGCACCATGGGGTGGCGAACCGGGTCTCGTTGAGGTAAAGGCATATAGAGCTCAGGATGGCATTAGGATGCTTAGTAAAGTGCATCTTGGTGAGCAGATTGATTTCGGAGCCCCAGTGGTCGGGAGTATAATAGAGTGGGGCTGTGCATAGTGTCCAGCAAGTTAGAGTGACAGCTATATGAGCCAGGGGCTTTGTGGTATATGAGCCATATTTATGGCTTGAAACCTAAGGTTGGCTGTGGCCACATAAGATATTAGCGTGATAGGGTAAAAAGTTATTAACTTTAGAGTCCCAGGCATATAGAAAAGGTAAGAAATATGAAAAATAAGTTCCACAAATAGAAACAGTGAAGTATATAAAAAAGAAAAACAAAAAGGAAAAAAAGGACACAACTGCACCAGCTATGGTAAGTTCACAGGTAGGGTAACCTGGAAGTAATTAGGGTAGAACGTCAAAAACAGACATAAAAAAGGCAGATACCGGTTACCGATCAGATGGGTAGTGTTCAAGGGTAGCGTTCAAGGGCCCTGACGTCGGGCTGAGGAAAAGAGAGCATGGAATGGTAGCTGAACCTTTCATTCATCTGGCTGAGTCCGATTCGGGGATCTCGGAGGCAGGGGGGCTCTGGAAGTGGCAGGGGGGGTCTGGTTCTGTGCGCCTCTCGGGCCCGGGGTGGAGGGGCGGAGTAGTTGCGATTCTGCTGTTTTGAGGCCTAGTTCATCCATCAGGCCTATGGCTTCCGCTAATGTAACAGCTTGATATTGGCGGCCTTTGTGGGTGAAGAGTAGGCGGAAGGGGAAACCCCATCTGTAGGGGATGTTAGACTGCTGTAAATGGCGGAGGGCCGGTTTCATCTCCCGCCTCTTTGTAATAGTGGAGGGGGCAAATACCTGATGGGCCCCTTATCCTTCCAGGACCTTTCTTCCTGGATTCTTGCAAGATGGTTTCTCTAGTGCGGTAATATTGAAACTTGCCGATGATGTCTCTTGGTGGACCATCTTTAGTGCGGCGTGAGGCTGAGCGAGTGGTGTGAGGAGGAGAGCTCAGCCTCCTGTGAGAGCGCCAGCTGTCTCTGTCCACACCGCTCTCCTAGAGGGGAGATGTGGGAACACAGGGGATGTGGGGGAGAGTGGGAACTGTATTTGTAGTCCTCTATAGTTGATGGGAGGCAGAGTTAATTGACTACAAGTGCGGTGCATAGGCAGCCGTCTGAGGGCGCGTGCGTGTGCAGGGGGGGGGAGGCACAGAAATGCTCCTTCGCCTGTGTAGGCAAAAATCCTTTCACCGGCCGTGTGTCTCATAAAAGCATCGCGGTCCCAGTTTGCCAAGAGAATAGAACCTTCAAATAACCCTGCTGTTCTGCTCTATACTTTGAGTGTATACTAAGAATTGTGCATGTTAAAGTTAGACATCTCTTTTAAGGGTTTTTACTGCTATCTTAGGCTCCATTAGAGAGACTTGACCCTCACTTCCCTTTTCTACCGACAACAGTTTTACCAGACAGGAAGTGAGGGTACATTTACAACTGGGACACAGACAAAAATAAAACCACCTCCACCAGGGGAGCTTGCTGGTTACCTTCAATGTTTCTTCCCTACCATTAGGTTCGCTTATAAGAATAGCAACCAATTTGCTATCTGCAAAGTGGAAAAACAATAGGTTGAAACAATAGTAAGTTACTGACCCTAAGAGAGGAAACATCCTGGATTGTGTGCATGTGAAAATATGTGTAAATACTTATTAGCATGTTCATAAAATGGTGATCTAAAAGCAAGTGAACTCAGTAATAAGGACACTGATTAAAAGTGGCAAACAAACCTTTAAAAATAAATCAGAAAAAAAGGACAATAATACACCATATGAACGTTCCATACTTTAATACTATAACTCTTCTACTGCTTTGATACCAGATGCAAGTAGTCTTAAAGTAAACTCGTATATTGAGCATATAGTGAAAAGTGCTAAAGTTACCTTCTGAGAAAACTACACTTCGAAATCACTACATCAACAGGTAGAGAACACTACAATTGCAGGTAAATCTCAGATATTCCAGTAATGGTTCCTCCCACTTCCTCTCCCACCTCTTCAATCAGTATGTCTCCTACCACGATAATATAAGACTAGGAAAGCAGAAGAGATTGGAAGAAAAAAGCTTTCCTTTAACATAAAGTAAAGATTTGCATATAACTTCATCTGTGCATATGGATCTACTGAGCACTGCAATAGTAATGCCTACTTATGCATTTTTATCACATGGGCTAAGTTTTATTTTCACTGGTTTATAACATGTTTACCTTATTTATCACATCATTACTCTACTTTAGGTACATCGCCTGAGCTGTTTTTTTTTATAGCTTAAGTGTCTACATTTTAAATGTACAAATTTATATTGTGTTGTTTATTTTTAAAAGTTATTATTTCTCAACATGCAGATAAGTACATGATACCTGGATCCTCAGTACATACGAGAGTCCTGTAGCAGTGGGAGGGGTTTGCTGTGTGACAGCTAGAAGAATCTTACCAGCTCTGTGACGTTACCTTCTTACCTGTATAAAGAGGAAACTGAAAGTGATATAGAAGTTCCCACAGCAATTATCAACTCTCTCTTGTCACTGAAGTTCTGAACGAAGGAGAACTCCACAACATCATGAAAATAAGGACATTTCCCTCCTGCAACCCGGGATATAAAGGTAGAAACATGGAAACAAGACTTCAGATCAGTCTGAGACCAGCACTGTGGAGTGACAGTGTAACAGGACAAATATCTAGAACCAAGAAGATATTACCAGATCTGACCCAGAAGAACAGAAATGGATATCAGGCTGATGGTGTTGAGCATTATACTTGTTGCAGTGAGTGGGCGCCTGCACAAGAGACTTTGCCCGATGTCCCGTTATTTATCTGTTGCCTCCTCTGACTTAACAACGCTGAAACAACTGCAACACGACCAGGAGAAGAACATGTCCACCAATGCAATGAGATGCTACAGAAGAATGCTGAGACACAAACCATCTGTATGTGACCTCACGCAGAGGGATCGTCTTATCCTGACCTTGGAGCGTGTGTCGCTAACTGTTGACGTTCTAACCAATATGTCTGTGTCTGCTCAGCCTGATACTATAAAGCAGTCTCTTATGGTATTCCTCAAACTGAGGGATGATCTAAAGGTGTGTAGAGGATCTCCAGAATACAGTGAGCCCACCTCACCGGAGCTGAAGCTGTGGCTGCATCACCTCCAGCGTTTTAAGGAGACGGCATCTCCTGATTGTGTCCAAGAGGCTGTGATACTTAGTCTCATCCCTCTGAGAGTGGAAGATGTGACATGTTGGGCACTCAACCAGTAACTTACACTACTACTTCAAAGATACTTCCTCCTCACCATATTCAAGCACAGATACATCTCTTCTGCTCTATCTCAACATACAAGAAATATGAAGACCATCAGGAAGAAGGATATGCACTGAAGGATGGACTTTTTCATCATACAGTTCTGCTGTCAATAAGAAAAAGTATATCTACTCATCCTCCATCTAATAGAATCTGATCCTACCTGATGTAGTGAATTCATCCTAACTATTAAAAGAAAACACATTCATGAAGTTTGTAACTACAGGATCTCCACATCTCCTTCTATCCTACAAGGGATTCCATAAAAGCAAACTCGCATCCCATGAATGGACCTAATTATTTATCTCAGCAAAAAAAGTTTCACTGCCATCCACAAATGACTGACCTGTTCTCTGCACAAAAAATGTATTCCTTGAATTCCTGGCTCCCCAGAGGATCCAATGGATCTGTAAATTATTTATGATAAAGAAAAAATATTTTGTTTCATTTTATTGATAAATGTGTATTAATACATGTGGTATTAATAAAGAGAAATACATAAATACAATACAAACAGTTTTCTATATACTTCTTTCAGGGGGGTATGTTTTATCCCATTATACATTAATTATGCATGATTTAACTCTCTAGAGAAGAGAAAGAAGGACTTTGAATAATAGTACATTTACTATGTAACAGAATAGTTCAGAGTATGCCAGATAATCATAGGAGGGGTGCTCTGTTCTTTGGAAACAAATAAGATGCAATCACATCAAAAATACTATTGGGGTTCAATTAGAGTAACTTTAGAAATACATTCATTGCATAAAGATTTATTCTTGAAAGCAATCATAGCATGGCAGCAAACACAAATGGAGACACTGATTTTAAGTTGATGTTCTAAATTCTGGTGCTATGAGTGTGTAGCGCCCATCACCTTTTGTGATGTGACTACTATGCATTTAATGATAGCCAGGGCTGTAGACAGCCGGGCTGGATTTATATTAGCAATTACATGGTTAATCCCAGGTGTCTAACATTGTCCGTACCCCCCTGGGCGGAATGAGACTCTGTCATATTGTGGGACAGCCAAAGGTGGATACTGTAATATGTGTAGAGTACAGCAGCCAACCACTGGGCTTCTCTCAGCCAGTGGTGCCTGCTGGGAGAGTGCACATATATTGGTGGGATCTGCCATGTGCTCTCTCTCTCGCCGGGACCAGCCATAGATTAGGGCTGGATCCTGATCAGATGATGGTTACCCCCAGACACCTAGTACCCCTACACACTCTCTCCCAAAGAAGATGTTCAATAAACTGTTCAATTAGCATTCTACTATTGAACTGAATATCAATTTATAAGCACCAGAAAAGGGTGGTTAGTGTTAATGGGCACAGCTGGAAATCAACCCCTAGACCGACTAGATGTGGACCGGGCAAACAGCGGCTCCCTGTGGAGAGTTATCGCTACAAGTGCAAGGTACCAACCTTCAGTTTATATTTCTTTGCTATTGTCTGTTCTGTCTACGCACTTTCCTAAAAAACACAATTCACCAATCCATTGAAAACCAGAAATGTACAAGAAATAAGTGCAGTGCTAAAACCTCACAAACTTTTATTAAATAAAGATAAAAGCAAGTCACTCACATTTATTGGTGCGCATCAAGCAGCGCACTCAGTATTGCGTTTGCTGCATTAAGTAAACTGTATCTGTCTTTTGTCTGAACTTGCTCCAGTCTCCGATCCAACTTACCTCTCCTCCCACTGTGCTGACATCATCTGATCTCCAGCATATGCATTAAATCATATTAACTTTTTCAGGGGTCAATGAAACACGTAGGGTGGAGTTCAGATTATATTATATCATTATACAAATATGACGGTTTGTACAGACAGCATTATGGTATCTGTTTTATCTTTCCTGTGACTATACCTCTGTTGCCGCTACTTGAGCAAGAAACAATAGGCTCAGTTCTCATTTCCCACATGATGGAAAACAAAGAGGGTTATTCACTAAGCCGCCAAAGGCAGCCGAGTGAATAACCGAGCCAAAGTGAACTGAGCCGAAATGGCATTCGACTATTAACGTCGGCTCTGTACGGTTGATTTCAGCCATACATCGGCTGCCTTTGGAACCCTCCGGTCAGCCGAAAATGCTCAGCATGCTTGGCTGAGCCGAATTGCAGAAGCCATTTGACTTCCAACATCTGTATAGGCTGAGCCGAAGCTCCAGCATTTCACTCGCTGCCTTTCGCCACTATTCTCATATGGGCCGAACGGCAGTGAGTGAATAGGTGGCATTCGGCTCGGCTATCCTGCTCGTTACCTCCAAAGAGAAAAAAATAATAAGAAGAAAATAATAAAGAAAAGCAAAAAAAATTAAAAAACCAACGTGCGGTCCCCCTCCCAAACCATCCTAGACCCTTTAGGTCTGGTAGGAATTTTAAGGAGGAACCCTGCCCCCCCCAAAAATGGGGGGGGGAATGTGTGGCCCCCCCAGAATTCCTTCCAGAATGTCCCTCCCTCCCTGCCATACCAGGCCACATGCCCTCAGCAATGGGAGGGCGCTTTTCCAGGACAAGGGCCTCTTCCCCACAAGCCCTGAAGCATTAATTGTGGGAGTGTGGGCAGGGGGGCTTATTTGCATCGGGGTACACCTTTAAAAAAGGGGCACCCAGATGTGGTCCTCCTCGTGAATGAGAAAGGGGTACCTATTCACTGAAGCGTTAAAAAAAATGTAAATAAAGAGACCAGACTTTAAAAATAATAATTTAATTGAACAAAAAACAAAACAAAAATCTTTGACAATTCCTTTATTAAAAACAAAACCTAAAAAAATTGATCCAACGACCTAATCCAGGTTCAATCACGACGTTTATCGTGTTCCACAATGATAACAACTCAGCAAAACAAAAAATGAAAGTAATAAATAAAAAATAATAATAAAAATAAAAAAAAAAACCCGACGCCCACCGACTCGTCCGGACACGACGAACTCCCGCCACAGAATGGCATTGTGACAGATGCCGGCAAAATATAAACAATAGGGTGCAGCTAGCGGTGACATCACCGCGAGCTTTGCCCAACTGTTTACAGTTGTCAGGCAGCTGACAGTCTGCCCGCAGGTCCCGGAAAAATCAAAACAAATGGGTGGAGCCAGCTGTGACATTACGGCTGGCTCCGCCCAGTTGTTGCCAGTAGAGTGTAACAAGGTCTGCTTCAGCAGACCGTTCTCCCTGCTTCAGCTGTCACTTTGGCTCAGCCAAGTCGAGGCATATGCGTCCAGCTCGGCTGAGCCACTCGGCTGCCGTCAGCTGCTGTACAATGATCCTTTGGCAGCCGATGTGAGCCGAAGGATCAGCCGAAGCTACAAATAGATCATTTGACAGGTAAGTGAATAACCCTCAAAATGTGTGTAGATCCGAATTAAACATTGTAACAGGCCCAACTGCTAAGGTGAGAGGCGTCTGGCGAAGGTGGTAGAGGACTCACCCATCACTTTCTGTACAGTGAAAACTATTTTTGACTCCCCCATTGAATTATAGGTACAAGCACATAAAAATACTGTGTAGAAGATGGCAAAAAGTCGATTTGTGATGCCTGGAACTCTCTGATGATCCATAATATGTAACTGTGGTCACATAGTGTAGACACCCCTCACTTCCTGCCCATAGGGCATCGAAGGGACATAGGAGCATTCTGTATATCTTTCTGCCCAACAGGCAGGAATTGAAGTAATAACTACCTGATAATCTTTGGATATTACAGTCATAGTCATTTGGAATAATATCTTCCAGTATTCCCCTGTCAATGTGACAGTAGGAGAGGGTCCCAGCACCCATGTGACCTTAATCATAGTGAGCCCTTGTGTAACTACACAAACATCATATGGTCAGATTCTTGTTCATCATATGCTTATTTTATTCCCTGGTTTATGACAGGTTTACTTTATTGATCATATCATCACTGTACTTTAACCCTTTTGCTGCCAGCGTTTCTTGCACACATGTTATAATCACTGGCGGAACTACCAGGGTCGCAACGGTCGCAATTGCGACCGGGCCCTGGCGTTCAGCCTGTTGGGGGGGGGCCCGAAAGCTTCCTCATGCCCCCCCCCTCCAGATAGCGCCGCTCCATCCTCCGCCGCTCTGCATGTATGAGCGGCTGTGCGGGATAGAGAGGCGCCTCTGTGTGTTACTTGTCTGCCTGGCGGGGCCGCTACCGACACAGCAGGTGCCGCCAGGCAGCACATTCTTCAGCTGGGACTGGGAGAGGACGGACCCTCTTCACTCGGCCCCGCCCCCTGGCCGCCAAAGACGAGGAAGCTGAGCGGCTGTAGGAGTCAGGTAAGTCCGGTGTGGGAGCAATACATTATATTAGTAAGTTGGGATGCACCAGTGCCAATACTGGGTTTTTTCACACGTACTTGTGAAAATGCCCCATACTAAGCGCAGGCAAAATTACCAGGGTCACAGCGGTCGCATTTGTGACTGGGCCCTGGTGTTCGGCCATTTGGGGGGAGCCCAGGGAGAAAGAAGAGGGCCCGCCACACGCAGTGTTTTTGACACTTGCGGACCGCAGTTCAGACAGAGGGATGGGGAAGACTCTGTAGTGGGGGGGCCAGTCAGGGAACTCCATTTGCATGCACTATTTTTTCTGACCGCAACGGAACGCAGGCATTGATTTGCCATGCGTTCCGGTGCAGGCGATCACACCGCGGTGCCATTGACTTTAATGCACCGCCACGCCCCCACCTCAGAACACAGTGAGCTGGACGGGTTGCAATCCATTGTGTTCCAGCACTAAATCAGCCGGAACACACTGGAGCTGGTGTGAACTAGCCCTGAAAAAAAACAAAAAACATACTTTTCATTTAACAGAAGAAAAAAAAAAGGTATCAAAATCATGTTTTTATTGGGCGGGGAGGAGGGGCCCTCAATGGTTTCTTGCATCGGGGCCCTGGGGTTTCTAGTTACGCCTCTGGTTATAATCCACATTTTAGGCCTGCAAATTACTTA